GGCAGAGGGCCAACATAAACGTAGCGGGGTTGAGAAGAGAGATGGGTCAGTCCAAGGACATCTGAATATGCAAGTAGAAAAAATATTTAGACAAAAAAAAAAAAAAGAAAAAAAGAGAGTGATATTTGCATATCCATAAAAGATTGAATTTATCCCTTGGTATTCATTTTTCCTCCTCAATGTTCTCGTCCAGTGAAAAGAAAAATGAAACTCTGGCATCACTTTAAAAGCACATCCATCGGAGGTTAAGGTAACAAGTTGGCAAGTGAAAGTGAAATCACAGAGTTGACACAGTAAACAACAACGGAGGAATCGTTTGTCTTGAATTGCGTCGAAATGGAAGCGGGAATTCTTTTTTTTTTTTCTTTCTTTTCTGGGCCCAGAACTGTTGTACTTTTCCCTTCATGCTTCGTCTTGGATGAGCACCCCCTGCTGCCCACATGATGAATATTCCCACCTGCTGGAACAGATGGGCACACTGGCTCAGACGTTTACCACCTCTGCTGTCATTTTTTTTTTTTCCAAATGTTTCGCTGCCTCTTCAGGATCGTAGACGGCATTTATGTTGGTTTGTTGACTCACCGGCCGCCAGCGCCCCTGATGCTGCTCCCCCCCCCCCTTTCCCTCCCCCACCCCAGACGCTGCCTCAAAAACATGCCGTGTTCCCGGCAGCGTCTATTATTCAGCACTACTTCACAACAAGTAAGTCCCCCTCCGCGCCGCGCACGCACCGAGGAAGACGCACTGGGTGACGCATCTGTTTGATTATTTGCCACCTTCATTCATGCTTGTCAGCCAAAAAGAACCACACTGTGCAACCTTGTCAAGGAGTATGACAACCCAAATCCCGAACCCGCCCAAACTCATTCGCTAACCCTATTCCTCTAAACCCAACCTACATATAAAGTAACGATAACCCTGACCCTTACCCAAACCCCTATTGTCAAATTTGCCTAAATTCCAATTTTCAGTTGTAATAAACTATCGAGTCTTGCTCTCCGGGACATTAAATACACTTCCTTTGCCGGCATACACACAACACACTCACACACAGTCATATCACACATCTAAATAGCTCCAATGATGCAGTTTACCACAAATTACAGAGCACATTAAGCGCTCGTCAGTTTCGCAGCCACATTTGGCACGAGCCGGGCCTTTCTCGTACTCTTTGAACCCGAGGGCCAAACGGCTTGGATGTTCTTCTCCTGTGCCAGCTGCCTCCTTTGTTGCTTTCTCTCTTAATTGAAACTCAACAGTAAAACCTCCTCCTGTTTGTGATGACACTGCCCGGCTTCAAATGGAACGTACTTGATATGCAAAAACTGTCATAATTTCTCGCTGTGTTATGAGCAAATATTGTTTGAATAGAGAAGTGATGAATTTATAAGTGGGGATGCATCCTGTTTAAGAACAAACCTATTATTTAAGCACCGAAGTATGGCCTTTTTTTGAGCAGATGTATATGTATACATACCGTATATATAATGCCCACACTGTTTGTCAAGTCAGACTTAAAATAAAATGAAAAAAAAACTCTTCCGCCCATCACTGCGTGACATCCGGGCACTCATGCCTGAAAACGAAGCGCTCTAAAGCAGCCATGCCAGCCAGAAGCCCGACTCCACATGGGAGCAATCATGTGCCTTCCTCGCTCTTCCTTCTTTCTTTCTCTGTGTGATATTCTTGCACTCGCTGCTGACAACAAAACGCTCTAAGGCGGCCATGCCTGTGGACTATCCAAAGACAAAATACATGTTCGCGCTATAGGCAGAGCTAGCTAACTAAGGAGAACAAAGGCGCTCAATGTCTTGGTGAAGGAGTGCCTCACGCCGGATTCCCGAGTGTCTCACTCGGTTCCATTTTAGCCAAGCTCCAAAAATCAGGAAACGTGAAATGGTGAAAAACACATCAAGCATAGCTCCATAATTTAGTGCTACATTATTCTCAGGCTTGATCCCATGTTTTCAGCAATTATCTTCAAGTATGTATAATATATCTAGCAACAAATCTCTGTAAATGTATTCACTTAAAAAGATGTACGCTCTCCCCCCCCCCCGATACGTCTGTTCATATCATGTTCGTACATTCCACAAGGATCAGTACAGTATAGAATTGACAAGAATATATTTCACACCCAAGGGAGAAAAGGTCAGTAAGAGTTGATTAGGTTTTTGCACCTTTGGACACAATCGCTCTTTTAGCGGGTGTCGAGTGAACCCTGAGCGAGGAAGGTGGCGTAGGGGTCGAAAATGACAGAGCATCAAGGGGAGGTGGGGGGGGGGGGCAGTCTCGAGCGGGAAGGGGGGGTCAGGCAGAGGAGACGAGGAATGCATTAAAGTGAGAAAAACAAGAAATCCGAAGAGGTGATCATGAAGAAAACATTGAGGGGAGGAAAAAAATAACAGCAGGAAGCTGTCCTAGAAATATGCCGCGTTTTGATGATGATGCGAGAGGAGGTGGATGAGGATGGAAGTCCAAAGAAAGCACAAGAGTGATGGGAAAAGAGGCCGAGAATCTTCTTTTCAAGTCCTCGTATGTTGTCAGCTGTGTTCGCACAGCGGGAGCTCGGCGGCTTTGGGCGAGTCTGTGGATGAGGACGCCCCGGAATCTGCCGGCCTTTCATATCTCACGCTGCATGCGGGTTTTGCACTGTTCGGCAGAGGTTTCAAAAGTACTCCCACTTTGTACTTAAGTAGAAGTACAGATGCATGCTAAAAAAAAAATAAAAAAAAAAGACTGGGGAAAGTAGACAACACAACACTGACATGTTCAATCTTTCCCCATTAAAATGGATGGAAATGCCTCTCATCAATTCCTGCCCCACCCAAAAATGTTCACAACTACTGTAAATGACCAAGTAAGCAGCAGTTGAAAAGAGGAGTTGTTTTTTTTTTTTGGGAAGATGAAGAATATATACCGATGACTGAGAAATGTTGCGTATGTCGTCTATCTACTTGTGTTGCTGCATTGTTGGTGTTCAAATATTCGTCGATTGAAGCATGATAACACCACCGCATAGAAAGTGGTCAAACGATGGCTCGTATCTCAAAAATGTGCAAATCAGGCCACTCGTATCTCAATGTACTCCTGTACTTAGTTCATTCTGTGAGGCCTGGGTGGGAATCACATGCATATGGAGGACGAGTTTGTGCGTGCATGTGTGCGTGCGTGTGTGCGTGCGTGCGTGCGTGCGTGCGTGCGTGCGTGCGTGCGTGCGCGCGCGCGTGCGTGTGTGTGTGTGTGTGTGTGTGTGTATAAACTCACTGAAAGTTGTATCAAAGCAATTTGGGGCTAGATTAAGTTTCAGCTATAAAGCAGATAATTCCATCACAGCGGTGGCTAAATTGAAAGACTCGATTCGCCACTGCTTTATTAAAACATTGCAACCTGTCGTACACCGTGCCAATGACGTTCTGTTAGGAACGTATTAACCTTGATGTATGATGCCGTGCCTGTCTGTGTGTGTGTGTCTGTGTGTGTGTGCGTGTGCGCGCGTGTGCATCGAGATGAGGGACGCTCATTCCTCAATCCTTTCTTTGCAGTCAGACAGCGACGGCGATTAGCGTTCCTCTCCATGTCATCTTCTTCTTCCCCTTCACCTTCCTTCTTTTACTTTCAGCAGCATGAAAGGCATCGAAGGAGGGACCGTTTCTTGCTCTTCATCCGTCACTTGGTGCCTCACACTGACGACATCATAAAAAGAGATCAACTTTTTTTGACTTTCGGGGCGCTTTGGGTGTTGATGTTGATATATTATCTCGTAGTTTAATTCAGCGATTCTTAAAATGTCGTATGAGTGCCACTGGTGATGCGCAGATGCCCTCTATAGGTACGTGACAGAATAACTGCCCAAGTACAGTTCAGTTGTGTTTAACTTTAACCATGTGCTGCAGTCGATGTAAATAAGTTTATATAACGCAACATACAATTTTACAAAAATTGTAAAAGTATTATTCCTGAATATTTATTTTACTTTCAACCACTCGACATGTTCAGTGGCATCAGTGCTATACATACACATATAGTTCTTATTTTTTTCTTTGTATTTTTGCCCTCTATGGACAATAAAAGCGGTATTGTGCTATGACCAAAACATAAATATAAATCTATATAAATAAAACATGAATTGGAATATTTCATATCACACAATTTTCATGCTTTGTCTTTGATTTAAAGATGACAATACGCAAAAATCTACAAAAATTGTAGCAATTGTAACACATGGGTTACATGTAAAAAAAATGCTTTTGTTTGGGGGGGCTTGCATTTTCTGCGCTTGATGTTCTTAATTTATTATTTTACCATGAGCGAGCGAGCAGTGCAAGCTTCTATGATATGAAATTGACGACGAATTGACGACTGTCAATTGGAGATTATAAATCTGAATGTGTTTAAGACAAAGAATGAAGAGTGAAGTTAGATCACATTTGACGAAGCTTGTTTCGTTATAAATGATCGCTCTTATGCTTCAGTGCTGAAGGACCTGGTCAGCCATGAAGGTCACTCCATTCGGATTTGTTTTTGTCTATTAAATTGCTGAGTCAGCATCACTCATGGGAAATTACTTTTGGGAAATTACTTTTGGGAAGCTTGGGCCAACGGTTTTCTGGTTGGTTGGGGTCATGGTGCAGGCAGATTTTGACGTGGATGCTGGGTTTGTACAATTTTAATTAATGACATCATAGTAAATTTGCGGGGTGATTTTTGGGCGTTTTGTTTCTGTTTTAGCAAATTATATGACCGATTTAACATGATTTTGGGGTGATGTGTTGATGTTGGTGAACAACAGTGTATGCTAGCAATATAATGTATAATACTAACCCGAATGCTAGATTTTTTGACTCTAGCAAGATGACGTTTTTTTCATTCTTGTTTGGTTATCTTTTGGGTTTTTTTTCAATTTCCCAAATAGTCATTTTGGAGATTTAAGGACAACATTTTTCAACCAATTCTAACCACTGCAGCTTCAAACTGTTCGGCTCATTCGGAACACGTGTGAAGATATGATAACATTCCCCAAATTCCCACATTTTCACAATAAATTTCTCAAAAATTCTCTTCATACCGCCTTCCACGTTTCTTGACATTTTTTGACTAGTAAAGTCATGTTGAACATTCGCAGCGGTGCATGAACTCCACATGGACGTTTTTTTTTTTTTTTTTTTGGGCCAACGTTGAAGTCGTATATTGTAGAGTAGCCAGACATAATAAGGCGGTAATGTTTTTAATGGTTTAGATTTTCCACTGAACTCCCTTCACCCCCCGAGTCTGACACGCACACACGCGGTGCTAATATTGCAGCGTCGTGGCAGTCATGTGTTTCTTATTGAGCGCTGTGTAATGAAGTTAGCCGGCTTTTTATGAGCGTGCTTGGCAATAAGACGACGTGATTGAGAACATGAGGATCCAATCTGGCCTCCAAATATGAGCGTCAGTGTCGCCTTTCGGCCCTGTTTTGCTTCCCGGCGCTTTGCAAACGCAGCAAGGAGGCTCAACTGTGTGTCGGAAAGGGTCCCGTTTCTTGTTTTCTTCATTTTTAAATTCCTTGATCAAATGTTGCTGAAATCTTCTCCGGTTAGAATGACTGCACTCAACGCAACGAGGAGTGTGTTCATATTTGAATTATGATGTTCCTTCATAATTACTTTCTTACATATTGCATCTCCATAAGTGATGGGTGGATGGATCGGTAGATTGAT